CCCTGCCTGACCAGTTTGCTTTTAACTAATGGAATAACACCTCGAAACCCCTCTAGCCGAAAGGAGTTTCTGAAAACACCCAAATGTAAAAACAAGTAAACAATTAACTTAAGCAGCAAGGGTGAGTGAACTCTGGTTGATAAACTAGGTCAGGATTTTTCCTAACAACATTTCACAAAAGATTTCACAACAAAGATGAACAAATAAAAAATACCTAACAGAGTCCAAACCAGGGTCTAATACAATAAAACTCACCGACGCCCCACGAAACCTGAGAAAGCAGCGCAGTCTTATAGGTTCTAACGGAACCAGGTTTTAAAGGAACCGACAAATAGGACACGCTCGCGACAACTTGAAGTGTCCTTCTGGGACGGAACAGCAGATATGGTGTTATGATCTTGAGCAGACATCGTGGCTCCTTGGGTTAATCTGTAGATTGAAAAGTACTGTTTGACCCAGCTTGACCCAGCTGGGCAAATGTGACCTCTGCCACAAATCAGAGAACCTTCATCATGTTACAACTAATCTGATTGGTCATTTTTGGAATATCCACTGAATAGCAACAGAGGTGATTTCAGTATGCAGTTAACTCTACAAAACATACGGCCACAGGTCAGATGATACGACTACACAGTCTATCATTGACCTGTGACCTAGGCTGCCCTGGTACCAAGTGTACCGATGGGCATCCTTATGTTCAAACATGGTGTTTGTTATGGCCAAACTGCGGCTTGCACAGAAGTCCAATAACGAAACACCACTCGAGTTCAGATCAGGCAGGCCGTTCCTCCCAATCACACCCCTCCAGGTCAAGCTGTCATTGCCCACATAAGCATCGAAGTCCCCCAGCAGGACAATGGAGTCCCCTGATGGAGCACTATCTAGCACTCGTGCCAGGGACTCCAAAAAGGGTGGGTACTCTGAACTGATATTCGGCCCATAAGCACAAACAACAGTCAGGACCCGTTTCCCGACCCGAAGGCACAGGGAAGCTACACTCTCGTCCCCCGGGATAAACCCCAAAACACAGGCGGAGAGCCTTGGGGCTAACAAAAAGCCAAACCCAGCCCTCCGCCTCTCACCCGGAGCAACTCCAGCAAAGGAGAGTGTCCACCCCTCTCAAGGACTTGGGTTCCAGAGCCAATGCTATGTGTTGAGGTGAGTCCGACTATATCTAGCCAGTACCGCTCAATCTCTGCCACAAGCTCCTGCTCCTGCTCCTTCCCCGGCAGCAAGGTGACGTTCCATGTCCCAAAAACCAGTTTCCTTGTCCGGGGCTCGAACCGCCAAGGCTCCCGCCTTGGTCTGCCACTCGATCCACACTGCGCCGGACCCTTCATGTTCCTCCTGTGGGTGGTGGGTCCACAGTTGGATGAGCCCATGTATCCGGTTCGGGCTGGGCCCGGCCGGGCCCCATGGGCGAAAGCCCGGCCACCAGGTGCTCGCTCACGGGTCCCAACCCCAGGCCTGGCTTCAGAGTGGGACCCCAGTAACCCTCTGGGCCAGGTACTCCGACTCTTTGAATTTACAACCATGAAAGATCCTGTGAACCGTTCTTTGTCTCACCCTTCACCTAAGACCAATTTGTCATGGGAGACCCTACCAGGGGCACAAAGTGCCCCAGACAACATAGCTACTAGGATCATTATGGCACTCAAACTCCTCCACCACGATAAGGTGACGGTTCAAGGAGGAGAAGTTGTAAATGTTGTGGTGAAATCTTAGCATGAAAATCAAATCTGTCATATTTGAACATATGCCCTAAAGTAAAAGAAATTATGAATTTTTTTAGGTAAAATCTGTTGGTTTTTTAGACATAATCTTAATATTGATGGTAACAGTACTAATAACAATTATGATATTGAATTTATTTCGCAGATGTAGACTAAGATTTCTCTGGGAAATGGAGAAGGACAGTTATTGTGCTAACCAATCTCAACATCAATGATGATGATGAACAGGAAGATGATGACATTGAGGCAGATCCACAAATTAAAAAAATATTCTAATAATCTATATTGGACCAGAAATTGTATCTATTGTTCAGTAACTTTTCAAAAAAAATTTTCTAAATAATCTGTTTTTATAAAATATACTATATTGTTAAATAATTGTTATATATTCTGTATTTTTGAACAATGATGTAATGTTCTAAAATTAACTAGATTATTCTAAAGTGTCTTATAAATATCTATATTATTCAAAAATGATGTTAATTTAACTTGTTCATGTGTTTTATTTTGGGATTTCTTTTGTCAGAACAGGGCCAATGTCCATCAATTCGTTTTCTCAGATTTTCTGCATGAAAATAAATATCTTTGAAAATTGTAACAGCAGAAATACACTTTGTTTATGGACTATAATATCACCCTGGGTTTGAAATTTAAAAAAATTAAAATACTTTAATGAGTGTTGGGTATTTTTATAAATGTACCTTTTTGAGGCCTAAAAGATGCCCATTACACATCATGAATCTCTGTGTTGGCTGTTCATGAAAAGGTTGAGCAAGGATGTTGATTGAGAAAACTCTGTACCTCTGTAACCTGAGAAGGCCCGCCTTCTCCACCCTTTGCTTGAATAAAGCCACTGGAGACTCTGAGGACAGGGGGAGTCGCCTGGCATCTAGCTCTGGAGAGAGTTATGTGTCATTTCGGTGATCTCCCCCTCATTTGGCTAATTCAGTGTAAAATGTTTCCTTTCGTGATGTGTGTTTATTTTAGGGTCCAGGGTTATGGAGGTTAAATATTATCTAACGGATAAGTGGAGAATGCAGGTATACAGAGCTGGTGAGCTGAAGGCTGGCTGGAGCTGAGTGGGGGCTGAGGCTGGTTGGTTGCGTCCAGCTTCTCGCATGTTGAGCCACGCATATGGACATTACAAATAATCAATTTACTCTCTCTCTCTCTCTCTCTCTCTAAAGGTGTGTCGTCCTTTAAGGTAATATGGGATAAAATCAAATTACCTATCAATGAGTGCCCTATAAAGGGAAATTTTATCTATCTATCTATCTATCATCTATCTATCTATCTATCTATCTATCTATCTATCTATCTATCTATCTATCTATCTATCTATCTATCTATCATCTATCTATCTATCTATCTATCTATCTATCTATCTATATATCTATCTATTCACAATCAGCTCTTTAGGTGACTTAACAGTAAGTTTGTCTTCCCATCAGCTCAGTGACTATTAGCTTAGTACAATGTTTCATTATTTTGTTGTCAGCGACTTTAAGCTGATTTGTCGTAAATTTGGCAGTGTCATCAGAATAAAGACAAAAGACTGAACACACTTCCCTGAGAGACTCCTAGAGTTTATTTTAAATTAACGTGACATGTTATAAAGAGCTGTTAGTATTATGCTGTGCTGTTTTGTACAATTCAGAGTTCAGCAAGCATCTCTGAATAAATATAATATAATATGATGATAGAAAGACTGTCCAAAGGATTCACACAGTTGTTTTTAAACAAATATATTACCATATTTTTGGACCTTTATATGTTTCTTTCTTAGTGTCATGAGGTTGGTCAGTCAAACTGTTCCCTGAAAGATTTCTGGGAATATGTCAAACTTGCCTTTTCATTAGTTTCACCACCAACCTAAAAATAAGCACTTGAAACATTTGCTACTGAATTTGTGGACATTGTTATCTTGAATGTGTCATCGAATGTTTGAATATTTGGCAATTGGATGCTTTGTGTTGTCTCTTTTCCTTTCTGTCTCATTTTTCTTTCTGTGTGTGTGTGTGTGTGTGTGTGTGTGTGTGTGTGTGTGTGTGTGAGTGTGTGTGTGTGTGTGTGTGTGTGTGTGTGTGTGTGTGTGTGTGTGTGTGTGTGTGAGAGAGAGAGAGAGAGAGAGAGTGTGTGTGTGTGATTGGGCTGGTGGATGAGGTCCCAGGGGGCTGGATTACCTCTCTGCATGCCCCAGGCCAAGCAGCTCTTGGGGGATTACTGTGAGACCTGCACCCTGGCTGGATTACAGCACTGGACCTCATTTCCATCTCCTTATTTACCTCAGCCCACCGGAGGAAACACTCAGCTGCACAGAAACATGCTAATTGATGCTGAGAAAGCCACAGAGAGATGAAACTCTCACCCAGTAAGCTTGTTTTTTATTTTATTTTTTAAACATATTTATTTTGTTTGAGATGGGCTGGCAGAGGGGATAGTTGGTTAAAGGATGAAAGGGAAATTAATGAAAACCATTTTTGGAGTTACCGAACAGACTGGAAAGCTACTGTTGGGTGTAGGAGGGTATGCATGTGCCTTCATTCTTGCTTAATTGTTCATTCTCTGAAGATGTGTGTGTGTGTGTGTGTGTGTGTGTGTGTGTGTGTGTGTGTGTGTGTGTGTGTGTGTGTGTGTGTGTGTGTGTGTGTGTGTGTGTGTGTGTGTGAGAAAGAGCGACAATGAGACAGAGAGAGAGTGCACGTGCTGGGATGACATTTAGTTGCATGTGTTTGAAGATGTTTTGTATGTGTGTGTGTTTCTTTGTAATTCCATTGGTGAACATGTTGTTATCTTCTGTAACACTGCATGATGCTGTGTGTGTGTGTGTGTGTGTGTGTGTGTGTGTGTGTGTGTGTGTGTGTGTGTGTGTGTGTGTGTGTGTGTGTGAATGCATAGGTGTCATGGCGGAGGTGCTTATTATTTGGTTGGGTCGCATGCAGACATGGTCACAGTGCGAAGAGGACAGTTGGCGGACCTATTCCTATTCCCAAAGCTCTTTAACGAGCTAGTGATGGGAAGAACAGCCCAGTTGCCCCGACAACCAGGCTGAACTCCGACCTCAGAGGTTGGCAAACTGTATATATTAGGATCACAGGCTTATGCAAATGGACCACCGATCCTGTTCCCTTCTTTTTTCTGCCAGAATGTCCTTCTTGTTCCATCCTCAACTTGACATGTGCGCGAACGGTGCCCTTGCTCTGAAGGGCAGCTGGGGGGAGGGGGGGGGGGGGGGGGGGGTTTAGCTAGGACTTCTATTAGTGATCACTAGGGTGACAGGAACTCACACTTCGGCTCAGGCACCACTGACGTATGACCCTTGCAGAAAAGCCAGGAAAGTAGATCATTAGGAGAGATTGTGGATTCCTATAGTGATTAGACACACTTTCTCTCTCAGTTTGCTCTAATTTATTTATTTATTTATTTATTTTTGGTCTATTTTTGCTTTTCTAATCCCACGTTCTCTCAGTATGTCATCTTTGTCCATGCTGCTGTAATGAGGCTAATTTAAAAGTGGAATTGTACCATTTTTGCAGGAAGCCCTGATGTAGACATTCTGTCAGTGGTGGGCAGTCAGGGCCAGCAAAGCCTCCTCTACTGGCCTAAACTTAATCAAAAACGTAAATGTATTTTTTTCTTTGGTAAATATTTTTAAATAAAAAAATTTCACTGGTCTATTTTCTTTATATGCTATTATACACACTTGGCTGCGCTGCTTCCAGTGTTAAAATACCAGGGTTGGGTGTTATCCAATCAGATTTAAGCTAGCTTGTGTTTTCAGGCAGATTTAGTCTGCCCTAGGCCTTCAGAATCAATCGAGAAGCCCACTGACCGCTGTAAGTGAACAGAGACAATCTAGTTGCTATAGCCAATCAGCTCAAGAGTCAGCTTGGCCCAGGCCAGCTAGCTGGCCTCACGCAAAAGTTAACATGAACGCATCCTGTGATTGGATAAGCAGTAGTTTGAACTTTTCTAGTGGCATTAAGCAAAATATCATAAATATCTATAGACAGCTATCGGTGTATTTTTTGAACACATGATGGCCGAAAGAGGGGAAGGGACTGACTTGGTTCACAAGCATCTGGCTGCAGATATCAGCTGGCGTCTTCTTTGCCATGACTGGAAATGACGTAACCGGAAAAACAAGACATCGGGTCATTACCTTCGCCGGAAGTCATTACCTTTGCTGGAAGTAGTTTGGATTTGACGAGAAAAACCATACCGTGTCGTTTTTCTCTTCGATGTGTATATAAACATATACATATCTAAGAGAAGAATGATACGGTGGACCATTACCTTAACCAGAGGTCATTACTTTCACAGGAAGTAGTTTTTTTAAACAAACCTTACCGGAACAAGTTTTTTTTATTTTGGATTTTTTTTCTCTTCAAATTTGGACTTGCTATATATATATATATATATATATATATATATATATATATATATATATATAAAATAATTACAAAAATAAAAGGCTGTAAAGTGAATAAAAAAACATATATGGGAAAAAATGAGAACATATTAAACTAAGACTTTTCAAGATGTGCAAACTAAATAGTACTTGCTTAATATTCAGTTTTATTGTTAAGCCCAAAATTAACTTTTGACCTGCACCAATTGCTAAAGTACAGGACTCCCAGAAGCAGTGAAAAACCTTTCAGCAACAATCCTCTCTCACCAGCAACAAAAATTTAATTCAAAATATACATAACACGGTCCAATATGTGTATCATTGCAACAGAATTTAACTACTACAGCTGATAACTATTTAGCTAGTTAGTATTTCTGTATTATTTTGAGTGAAAGACAATAAAACAAAAGAAACACTTAATTTCACAACCATTTTATTTTGGGTACAAATTAATTCATTGAAGCATGGCTTTCTCAGCTGCATATCAATTCATTCCCTCCCAATTTTCCAACACTTTTATTGTCACCTGAAAAACATGTACACAAGGATTAATTCATACACTGTCAAATGTTTTTGAAAAGAAACTTGCATACCAATCACTGCTGAAGACTGCTTGGTACCTCTGGAACAAGGACATCAAACACCAAGTCCAGAAACTGGAACTCTCCCTTCATTATTAGTTTATCTATTCCTGAGCATTAACCAATCCGCTGTGTCAGCTCGTCAACCTATAAAACACGTTAACATAAAAATGAACAAAACATTCCTCTCAGCATTAGACAACATTTATTTACGGTATATATATATATTTAAATATATTTATATATATATTTATATATATATATATATATATATATATATATATATATATATATATATATATTAGGCCTGTCAATCGATTAAAATTTTTAATCGCGATTAATCGCATGATTGTCTATAGTTAACTCGCAGTTAATCACAAACTTAATTTTTAATAACTTTTAATAATGATAAAAAATTTATTTCAAATATGGAGTGAACAAATATAATTTTTTATGAAAATATGTTTATTATAACTGGAGCAAATTCAAACATAACAAAAAGTTCAGAATCTTCATGAGAAAAACAAAAATATTCAAAGTGCAATTAAGCATAACCTTCCTCACAATAACAGTTTTACCATATATGGTTCCACCCAGATAAGGACTCACAAAATCAACACATGAGAATCAAACTAGGACAAAGAGAGGTGTGTGATATAGAACCAGGACTCTGTCTGTGTGTTTTAAACATAGCTTATTGTTTCTGGTGAACAAAAAAAGGCAACACTTCTGGGTTTATTTTTTCTTTCCTATACCAATGAACCTCTCCAGGTTATTTTTGGGGCTCTCCCCGTTACTTTTTTGTACTTAGCCAGTTGCTCAAGCAGACAAGCATTTTCACATTTTCAGAAGACAGTGCAGCTCGTTTCTTCTGAACAACATGCCCAGAAAGTGAGAATAACCTCTCACATCGTATGGATGTGGCAGGTGTTGCCAAGTACTTCTGTGCAAGGGATGCCATCACGCTGTGTGCACCTTCATGTCTGGACCACCATTTCTGGGGACAGTCCTCTGTATCAATAGTAGGTTCTGCCTTGTATCGATCCAAAGATCTCTCAATACAGTCCTCTTCTTCATCAGATGAAGAATACTGGGAAAGCATGAGGACAGTTTTTTTCTTGGGGGGCTCCGATGTTGCTGAATCTTCAGGCTGTGCTGGTGCCTGCCTCTCCCTTAGCAAAGCAGTGATTAGTCGCCACACTTCAACCCTTTCAGGTTTGCTAAGACACTTGAGATCCTTAAACCTAGGATCGAGTGCAGTTGCAACCTTGAGCCATGTGATGTTAGCTTTATCCTTGCGCTTCTCTATTTCTGTTTTGAGAGTCTCTTTAAAGTTCACCATGTAAGCTGGGTCCTCCTCAAAGACCTCCAATACTCGCAGGAGGTGGCACAATGCTGGCAACACCACAGAGCAGGAAACAAACTTCTCTCCTTCCAGAAGATCAGTGATGTATCTTCAGTAAAACACATTAAATTTCAGTCAGAAACAGAGAAACCTATCACCTAGACTAAATTTCTTCCACCCCCCTCCCTCCCTCCCTACACACACACACACACACACACACAGTTTATTAACAAAAGACTGATAAATACAGGAGTTTCATACCTGCAATGCTCCAGCACCGTTTCCAACTTTTTCAGTTTTTCCAGCTCAGCTGATGTTGGCATTGTGATGGTGGTTGCTTGTTGGGCCAGTGCAGCTCTCAGTGGTTCCTGATTTCTCAGAACACGCTTGATCATCTCTAGAGTACTATTCCATCTTGTTGACACATTGAGCGACTCTTTCTTGATGGAGTGTGCGATTTGTTGTTGTTCAAGTTCCACTGCATTTGCTGGGCTGTGCTTGAAATGACCAACAACTTTTCTGCATTTTGTCAATGCACTGTCAAATGGACTGTTCTGTAGAGAAACTGCAATAGCTCGATGCAGGCTGTGTGTAATGCAAGGCATATGCTCAAATGGTAGTTGCCTCGCCGCAGCAATCATGTTGCGTGCACTATCTGTGGTCAGTGTGCTGACTTCAATGTTCCACTGCTGGGCTACTTGCATAAAATGTTCAGCGCATGTGTCTGCAAAATGTCTGTCCTCTGTTTTCATAACAGTCAAAGCATGTGACCGAAGTTCCCAGTTTGATGTAAAATAATGTGCTGTTACCCCGAGATAGCTGTGATTACTCAGAGACGTCCAGTAGTCCCCTGTTAGGGCAACTGTTTTTGTCTGACTCAATGTCTCCTCCACCTTTGCTTTTTCATCTTGATACAATTTTTGTATATTGGTAACCGTGGTGACTCTCGAAGGTAATTCATATGTGCTGTCGCTTGATGCAATGCGAATTACGTCAAGTAGTCCTTCATCCTCCACAATGTTAATCAGTCTGCAAGCTGTAGCTACCCATTTAGCAATGGCTGTTGAAAGCTTACACGATGTAGAATTGTCCAGGCGTCTCTGCTGAAAACTTTCCAGCGTGGTTTGCTTTCGGTGAGGAGGAGGGCTCTCTGCATCAGCTGTATGTTTCGCCAGCAGGTGGTATTTGAGACTTGAAGTACTACGATGATAGCTCAGTTCACATCGACAGTAAACACAAATGACTTTTGTCTTATCAGTTGTACCATCTGGTAGAGTTTTAAATGGAAACTTTCCATTCAAAAGACCATTTTTGCGTTCCATGCTCTATCTAGCATCCGCCGACTGAGCATTAACGTTCTTGTTTATGTTGGCTATGGAACGCCAGGAGGGCAAAAAGGAAAGTACGGAAACCTGCGCGTTAATCGCACGTTAATTAAATTAACGCTGTTAAAAGGAGCTTTGCATTAATGCATTAAAAACGTGTTTATTTTGACAGCCCTAATATATATATATATATATATATATATATATATATATATATATATATATATATATGTAAATAAATGTTGTCTAATGCTGAGAGGAATGTTTTGTTTGTTGATAAATAAATAAATAATTAAATCAATAATGGACCCAGGTGGCCCACTGGCCACGCATCGAGATAAATAATTTTGATGCAGCTTATTGTAAGTCAGTATACATTTACCTGTGCATCAGCAAAGTGGAACATCAGTGGCTTTAGACTTTGCTTTAATTTAAGCGAGACACCTGGATTGTGCCACAGATACATGCGGCCAGACTTCACTCTGTCACTCTGCCAGTTAAAAATAAGCGACATTACCACAGAAAACAAGGGATTGCATTATCCTATGTCCAATTTTAGAATCTTAATTTATTATACCCAAACATTACCTTGATTTCACCATCTGAAATAATTACTTGGGTTCCATTTTTCAAAGCCTCGATTGTCCTGTATTATAGATAAAAATACATCTTATTAGCAAATGAAGAATACAAGCAAAAGTAAGGAGTTTTGTCAGTGTCACTTGAAGAAGTCCGACATTCATTTTAGATATATATTTAAGGCCTCTAATTCTTGAATGATTTGCAGCTAAATGTACTTAAATCCAGTAATATTTACATAAACCATACCCGATCAAAGCAGTCAGTCAAAAAAATCTACTTTTTAGAATCAGAAGGAGGGAGGCAATAATTAAGAGAAGCGGCTACTATTTCAAAGTTATTGTACCTGTTGCAGGACACCTGATTTGTGCAACCACAGTTGAATGACCCAGCACAATACCACAGACAATAACTTAAAAATATTTAGAGATATTGAAAGCTAAACTTGTCCAGGAAAAAAAAATACATTTTTGAGTGCACAGGACCTGTTCTATTGTGGACCAGATACTTCAAAAAATGCATAAATCTGTCTTTTTTGAAGTTTCACAAATCAGAAAAAGGTTTAACAAATCTCAAACTATGTTTTATACATTCTGCTATGAGCCTCGAATAATCTATAACAGGTTGAAGAGTGTATGTGTTGTAGTTTTTGAGCTAGAGCAGATTTAAAATGGCCAGAGTAGAGAAAAATTGGGTCTATTAGCTCTTTAGCCATTTCCCAATCGGAAGCTAACTTCAGCCTCGTATGAAAACTAGTGATTGAAACCACTCACAAATTTCTGAAAATCTAAGCTTTTTAATAAAAAAGGGGCATTAATAACGTTTCAATCAAGTCAGTATTAGAAATCGTGGTCTTTAAATCATATCTCACATATTATGGGCGACAGTGGCACAGGAGTTAAGTGCTCGCCCCATAATCGGAAGGTTGCAGGTTCGAGCCCCGCTCGGTCTGCTGCTGTCGTTGTATCCTTGGGCAAGACACTTAACCCACGTTGCCTGCTGGTGGTGGTCGGAGGGACCGGTGGCGCCAGTGCTCGGCAGCCTCGCCTCTGTCAGTGCGCCCCAGGGCAGCTGTGGCTACATCGTAGCTCATCCCCACCAGTGTGTGAATGTGTGCGTGAATGGGTGAATGACTGATTGTGTTGTAAAGTGCCTTGGGGGGTTCCAGGACTCCAGAAGGCGCTATATCAAATACAGGCCATTTATATATCTCAATTATATATAAAGTTAATATTATTACTTTAACTGTTTTAACAAACAGGGGGACCAGAAAAATCAAATAGCTAAATTAAAGCTAAGCTTCAATTGCTGATTGCTTTATTGATGTAGCTTTTGTGTTAGCTTGTGAACTCCCTGCTTTAGTTTTAAGATTGAGTGTTAATATCAATGGTTAATATTGATACAATTAGCTATGAAACACAGTATCTTTGCAATAATTCTCTGGTAAAGCTCTAAATGCTATAGTGCCCACATTTAAGAACTAAGAACGGTTACAAACGCTAGTAAATTTCATCCGTACCTTTCCTCTTTGAAACCCACCGAGTATGGTTGAAACAAAACCACAAAAACAAGGTAGCGGCCACCAAAAAAGACCAACTTCCGGCCGAGGTCTTTCACTCGTTGATTTTCCGGTAAAAGTAATGACCCGCCATCTTGTTCTCACTTTTAAGTTATTTCCAGTGACACGCCAGCTGATGTCTGCAGCCAGGTCCTACTCACTTGGTTGCAGATTTACTTGCCACACCATTTTACAGACGGACCTTTGAAGAAAAAATGGATCTTGTGAGAACAGGTCGTCCGACTCCAATGCTAGCTGGCTTGTCCCTGCAGGGGAAATGGTATGTTCGACATTTTCGGGCAAGCAACTATGAATGGTACCCATGGCTAACAGCTTCAGAGAACCACTGCAGGTTATTCTGCTGGGAATGCCTGTTGCTCGCATCAGATCGATTTGGTATTTGGAGCTTTACTGGATTTGCCAGTTTAACCCTTTAGGCGCCATAGTTTTTTCAGAAAAATATGAAATTTTGATATCACCATTTAAAGAGCTTGTAGCTTAAATCTGGTTAGAGATAGAGGAATATTGTAAATTAGAAAAATCATCAGTATGAGCCAAATTTTGTGGCAGGAACAAATTCACTCACGTAATTTGCATATTGTGACATCATCAGGTGGCAGCCATATTGGATAGCATCACATTAGCAGATTTTTGTTGTTTTTTTATGTTTTTGTCTTATTTTCTTAATGTTGTTGTGTATGATACATATATGCATATTCCTATGTACTTTATTTTAGGTATTTTCTTTCAGCCTCGACCCTCTAGACTGGCCAGCAGATGATGTGATGGACCCTCCTGCTCCAGGAAGTCAATCGGGAGATTTGCCATCCTCATCACGACCGCTTCGTCACACAAGATTCGTTCATGAGGCTCCCTTGTGGGTTTTTTTTTTTTTTTTTTAGATGTCGGATCCTCCTGCAAGGCTAGTGTTGTTAGCGCGAGCTGACATCTTGGGAACACTCCGCAGCGCTGGGGATCAGCGCCGCGCGATTATTAGTGTTTAATCTGCCCACCTTTGGAGATCCAGGGTTAGTTTAGTTAAGTTTTTTTTTGTGTGTGTGTGTGCTTAGATAGCGGGAGACCTCGTTTTGAATAAATGTTGGCCCTTTTGAGTCCCCCCCATTTATTTTCTTAAGTGTGTGTGTGTGTGTGTGGGGGGGGGGGGGGGGGGGGGTGCAAGATGGCCTCAGTGGCCTTTGTCTCACCTGTGTCCTGGTGCCCAGCTGTTCCAAATCCGGGATAATTACTAGATCAGCTGTTAAAAGCTACCCTGTTGCCCTCATTCAGTGAGAAGGTCCCAGGGTAGTGTCAACTCGTCAGAGTTTGCACTATTCTCTTCTCCTCGTGTCCCTTTGATACAGCTCATTCGACTTTGATATTTGACTTACTTTGGATTTGGATTTGGAATTAGTATCAGTCAATTAGTAAGTTGACTTTGGACCGGCATTTTGACTTTGAATTTAGGATCTCCCCTTTTGTATAAATATTAATATTCTCAGTTGTTTATCCCATCCCCTTCTGGGTTGGCGCTTTTCATTATCACCCTTTTGAATATATCTCCTTTTGTTTTTGTATATAGATTCCTTTTTAGTATTGTAAATATTCATTTTGTAATAAAATTCTTGTTTTTACGCGACACAGCACTTTGCTTATTATTTAATCCACACACTAATTTTATTACTCCCCTCCTCCTCATCTCTCCTAGAGAGCCGGGGACGTAACAAGACATATATAACTATATATATATATATATATATATATATATATATATATATATATATATATATATATATATATTACTTTATTGGTATTTTGTTATGTTTACTGTGTATCAATCAAGAACACGGTTTTTGGTGCTTCAGCGTCATGAACACATTTCACTCATCCCTTTTTTGGTTTATTTTGTTTATATATATATATATATATATATATATATATATATATATATATATTTATAATCCTCAATCTCAGGATTTTCCACAAGCCCCATGCAGAACTGAAAGGCAATGAACGCTTTCATTTCTGGGACAGTTAAATTGTACCAGTCATTATATCTGGAGCTAGATTTCAGTTCCTCGCTCTCTAAATACTGGTAAGCATATCGGTTAGTTTCAGTTGTGATGAGGGTCCAGAATTCCTCATCCAAAAAAACTGACAGAAAATCAATGTGTTCTGAATTGAACAGATCCCTGTCTCCACAGTATCCAACTGGCTCATCAAAATGCCTGATCCACTTGGAATACTGTTCCTCTTCTCCCAAACTAACCCAGCCATCATTATTATTATTGTCACTGAGGCTGTGTTGGGCCACCCCCCTGCTAGCAGTGATTTTTTTCCTGCGGTTCCTCCCCCCTCCTGCTGCAATTCCCGCGGTTTACACCCCCAGGGGCTGAATCGATCACCAGTGGAGTTTTCACCGGCCCATCACCGCCACCACGTGCAATGCGGACCAAGCTCTGACACCGGTCATACAGTGACCTAACAGCCCATATCAGAGGGCCTGGTACCCCATCCTCCCGGAGTACCCCCCACAGGGCCCCCCGAGGGACGCGGTCAAACGCCTTCTCCAAATCCACAACACACATGAAAACTGGTTGGGCAAATTCCCACACACCCTCCAGGATCCCCCTAAGGGTATAGAGCTGGTCCAGTGTTCCATGGGCAGGACGAAAACCACATTGCTCCTCCTGAACCTGAGGTTCAACAATCCGACGGACCCTCCTCTCCAGAACCCCTGAATAGACCTTACCAGGGAGGCTCAGGAGTGTGATCCCCCTGTAGTTGGAACACACCCTGCGGTCCCCCTTTAAATAAGGGGACCACCACCCCAGTCTGCCAGTCCAGTGGGACTGCCCCCAAT